TATATATATATATATATATATATATATATATATAAGACAGTAATGAACATTTTTTCGCTTACTCTTTCCAGGTTGGCTCCTCAGATTCCAGGACGTTTAAAATGTGAGTCGCCATGTAGGTCGTAAGTTGTTGGATTTTCTCTTGGCGCAATATCTCGATAATATACTTGACTGTTTTTTTCCTTGCATATTTGTCTAGGGTAAGGAATGCTTGACTTCGAAGACTAACCGACTCATAAACATCAGCCAATATTTCTTTTAGTTCTTTCTCCACTAACGTATCAAAATTCATAGCTCGAAGCGCCTGAAAAAAATAAATAACCACACGGTTTAAGCGATCGTCTTCAATTATTTCAAATAAAGAAGACTCAAAGTAACTCTAAAGCAAACGCTTGTAAGCAATTAGTCTTTGATAACAAACAAAAGAAATGAATTTTTATTCAAATTTTAATTGCTTACGAATTATCATTAGATGAGCAGTTTTATTGCCTCTCTACGGCGGGAGTCGGGAGTAGCTACGACATTAGGTAAGTATAATGATGGATCTCGCAAGCGTAAAGAAAAACTTGACCAGAGATACGAACACGTCAAGGGAACGACTAACAACTTTATACATTTTGTGCAATGTAGAAGTTCAGCCCTGGAGATAGAATCTCAATGGGCCAGGATTTTATCATTTATACTACGTTCAGCCCAAAGACGAAACTCGACTGATCTCAAACAAAAAGCCGAATTCTAATTATTTGCCTCTCAAGGAGTGTAACATTATTATTATTATTATTATCATTATTATTATTCGTTTTCTTCCTCTTCTTAGTACAGTCCCTTACTGGGTCACTGGCTGAGACTTGAAGTAAGGAAAGATAATAAATATTTGCATTTTATTTGCATAATTTCTCATGTTAGGTTATACTTAACATGTATGGGTTTTACATTATTTTTACATTGTGTAACAATTTTGAATTTTTTTTCTTTGATTAGTAAGTAAAATTTCCTAATTACTTCTGTCTAGAAAGCAAAGAAAATGACTATTGTTCTCTTTAAACTTTGCTTTTGTAATCTCAACATCGATGTTTTAAAACTGACCTATTTTTCCATTACATTTCAGATAGACTCAATGATGAGATGCTGAAGGAAAATTTTCTAAAACCTTCTAGAAGTTTCAAGAACTTTCGATGAGTTTCTAAAAGTTTCAAGAATTTCTAGAACGTTCTGGGTACCAAGGATCGTATAACGAAAACATGGGGGGAAAACCAAGAAAATACTTATACATTCAAATATAAACGACTAATATGTATCTGTACCTGAATCAAGTAAATACTTATGGACTCAAATATAAAAGACCAATATTTACCTATCCCCGAACCAAATTAATACCGACTCAACTAAAAAATTATTCCTGAAACAAGTAAATTCTTATAGTCATATATGATCGACCATTATTTACATATCTTTGAACTAATTGATTCTTTTAGTCTCAAATATATATAAAAAAAATTCTACATTAAATAACCCAACTACGGTTGACATGTCAAATCAACCAATTAAATCCGGCCCAGTCTTACAAATCAAGATACATGAAATCGAATACTTTATTAAAGTTTAAAACAATAACAAGTGTAGCCAGACATTATTGAAACATAGAATTTCACTTTGAATTTAATAGAAAAAAAAGAATACTTTGAATCGTTCTTACCTTTATGCCAGCATTTCTCAAAGAAAGACTGTATTTTTTACTTGTGACAATTTTTAAGATACCTCTGATGCATTCGTCATGGAGATCTTGTATTAAGCTTCCCAGATTTTCCATTCCCTAAAAATGTAAATTAACGATTAAGTATGTTATTGTAATGTTCTTATTTTGAAGTAATTCTTCTTTTTCTTGGCTTTAAATAGTAATTGTAGTCTTCTTAACACGACGGGACCTGCATTTTTTTAAATCAAATAATTTGCATCGTCGTTGCAAGTATTTCATATTCAATGGAAAGTTACACGCAACACATTTCTTTTAAAAGAAAGCACAGAACTGCAGTTTTATTTCAATATCATCATAACTTCCATCAAATTTGTAAGAAAAAAAAGGCGTGTAAATGGGCTTAAAATTTTATTATTTTCATTATCGGTTTTTAAAATTAAAGAAAAGTTACTTTGGATGAATTTCGGGATTTTATCAACAAATATAAAAGGAGAAAATTTGTTTTTTTGACTTATTTTACATTTCTCTAATTACTTTGAATGGTCGTTACATTCTACTTGGCAACGTTACCAAAAATGATCGTTAATTTTTTGAAGTGAACGTTACACAAATTGATCATTATGTTCTTGGTGAGAATGTTACTAAAATTAATCATTGTGCTCTTGTTATGAACGTTAGTAAGATTGATCGTTGTGCTCTTGGGAATGTTACCAAAATTGTCCGTTATGCATTTGTTGGGAACGTTACCAAAATTAATCGTTATGTGCTTGTTGTGAACGTTAGCAAAATTGATCATAAAGATCAATTTTGCTAACGTTCACAAACAAGCACATAACGATCAACGAACGTTAACAGAATTGATCGTTATGGTCTTGTAACTAATAATAACTAAAATTGATTGTTATGCTTTTGTTGTGAACATTACCAAACTTGATCACTATGCTCTTGGTGTGAACGTTACTTAAAATACCTGAATTGCGTTAGATTATATAATAATATTGAAAATCGAGCCAAATAAAATATATGAAAGTAAATGCAGTTTGCGAACACGTTCCTCGTATCATAAAATACAATAGTAATAAATGGATTAATACATTCTATTGGAACATGGAGTTCTTCATAAAACTATTTGAATTGTGAATTTATGACCATCAACGAGCTGTCGTTACAGCAAGACGGAAACTTTATATATTTCGCAACCTAACTTACCTTCATAGCCCATATGAGATCAATTTCAGCATCTGCGTCATCTCTTTCGACTGTGGTTTTTAAATAATGGTGATAGAACTTGATTGTTTTCAGAATTGGGATTTTATTCTAAAATCAAATAAAAACACTTTACTAAATTTAAGAAATATACAAACATATATGCCTGCGCTTGTTTTATTTAAGGCTCAAACATAACTACTGCTTAATTTTCCTAGAAGTTTTCATAGAATATAGGACAAAACTTTGCTTACGCAACAATAAAGATTTAAGAACTGTAAATATATATATATAAAAATTGTTGCAATTGCTTTACATATACATTTAAAGAGAGATAACCTCTTGGTTCTTCGTCTTTTATCTATCGTGTCCCTTATAAATCTACAGATAAGATTACATGTTCATCCAGCCACGTACACATGCACACGCCTTCTCTCTCTCTCGCTTTTTTCTTAATTGCTTATGCATTCATTTCTTATACTTTCAGTTACCTTTAATTTACTAACGTTGCCTTTCGCCTCCATCTTTATTATTTTGAGCTGATTTCAAACAGCACCACTTTCCAATTTCGTATCGATGTAAGATGATGCTCAATAAAACAGTTGTGTGTGGAAGAATGATCCTTTAAATTGGGCATGGCAGCTTAAAGCATTTGGGACGACATTGTTATCCATCTCCGACCTGTCTCTATTTTTATTCAGTACGTGTGTAGGATGGTAGCTGTGATTTATAACTTTTCCTAATCAAGCTAGCCGGAGGGAGGATTTCATACCTCAAAAAAAGAGGAACCGTTTTACCAGTTATCCAGACCCCACTATCAGTGAGCTCTACAAATTGAAAGCTCTGTTTGACACTCTTTGATTTCCTCATTTCCAAAGTCTAGTTGCAGCCATCCCGTGTCGCTGTTGACGCACATGAATAAACCAGAATGGCTCCTTCAAAAATGTAAAATGGGATCACTTTTCGATCACTCCACTTTTCCGCGTCAAACAAGAGCGATCCACCCAAGAAGTGGTATCTAAATCATAGCCAGGTCATATTACAAGACGCTACAACGGATACAGGTTTTCCTGGGTTCAAATCTGGTCTTTAGAAGGTCACTACGGTTTCAACTGTATTTTCTACTCCTACTGTATGGGATTTTACATACGCAACATTTTACTTAACTACTAAAGTATACGAAATAAAATCTATACCTGGAAAAGGTTGAAGAATAAATTGGCCAAAATATTTTTCTTATGTTTTGCATATCCCTTTGCGTAGTAGTATAGTACAGTTTTCCGTGTCCCGAATAACAACCGAGTTTGCTAGGCATAGCTGTTCCCAATGTTCGCCTGTTGTTTTCTATTTATACTTGTCTATCTAATTTGCATACGATACTACAATTTTATTTGAAACAACAAAAATAGTAATCAAATGATAAGGAATGGTGATTGTTACTCTCAGATTTTAAGAAAATAAATTAAAATATTTATAATACAAAGCCGATTTTTATAAGTTATTTTATAGGTAAATAATTATTTACTTCAAAATATTTTACGAAAAAAACGCATAAAATGATTCATGGTGAACATTAGTTAAAAGGTATATAAAAATATATATAATATGAGTTTCAAACGTAGATTTTTTGGTCACATTTTACCTCTTTCAAGTTCATGTCGACGTTCTTAGAAAATCTTTTGGCTAATATTGTTAAAGTGGTACAACTTTGCTTCTTCTCCTTCTTGCAAAGATCCTGAAATACAAACAATACACAAATATTTTATAAAAATATAACAAATAATAATAAGCAGATTATAAACGAAAATTTTCCTTTGAAATTCAATCTGTTCACTTAATCCATGCCAATAAAATTAAGACGAACAAGAAGGAAATTACTATAAATTTCCTCCTTGTTGATCCTAATTGATATCACTCTCCCAGTAGAGTAAAAGAGAAAAAAAGCTGAGAAAATATTAGGTTGGAACAAAGTTCCAACCTAATATTTTCTCAGCTTCGTAGAAGTTTTCAATAGATGACATTTGAACATGTGATTTCGTTTCACACCTGACTAAAATTTATTAAATATATACATTTTCTGAAAGGTGACATATCAACGCGTGTTTCTATACCGCTCATGTATTGATTTGGAATTTTATATGTTTATGTGTTAAAAGTGAAAATGAAGGAAAGTGAAATTCATTTTCCTCATTTGACTTTCTTTATTTTTCGAATGGGAAAACGCTGTACCTAACGCAAAACATGTATTTTATGTAAATGGTGCCATAGCGGAAGCTACTGTTCGTAAAGGTTTTGCTAAGTTCAGAAGTTGAAATTTTGATCTGAAAGACCAAGAACATTACGGCAAACCAGCAGTCGTTGATGATGACCAAATAGAAACGCTGATAAAAATAATCCAGATCACTTGAGATAGGAGATCTCAGAGATAATCCACATATCTCATATGAGCGTTGTAAGGCATTTGAAAAAAAACTTAAATACGCATATCGCTACAATATTTGACAGAAAAAAAAATAATAGACTGCATTTCTGTCTGTGATTTTCTGTTCGAACGCAACAAAATCGACCCAGATTTTTTTTATCACATGTTTACGAGAAAATCATGGGGAAACTAAATGAGCCACTATTAAAGATTCCAAAAGGCTGTCTATACACGAAGAAGATGATGCCGTGATTGTATTGGAAGGGCGTTGTGTTTTACGAGCTAAATCAGTCGTTAAATTCAGACAAGTACTGTTCTCATTGGATCGATTAAAGGTAACATTCCATCAAAAGAGTTCGGAATTGGCCAATCGGAAGAGAGTCGTATTCCATCAGGACAACACCAGACCTCCATTCTGTTTGCAAATCCGGTAGAAATTGGTACAGCTTGGCTAGTATGTCCTACTACTCCAGCTAGTATGTCCTACTACTCCAGCCCTATTTACCTGACCGATTCACTTTCGATTCATACGAAATTCTCTTAATGGGAAGAACTTAAATTCTCTACAAGCCTGTAAAAAAACATCTAAATCAACCGTTAGTAGCCAAAAAATATTTTTAGATTGTAAGTATGTTTTGAAGACAATAAAGATTTTCTAGTTCTACTAATTAAAGAGAGGTGGATTCATGTCTTTTCCAAGGATATTTGTGCGTAAGAGAATATAACGAACCCGACTGGAGTTGGAAATCGGAGAGCCGTTATCCATTACATAACCCGCGAATTCAAGCTTACGGCATCTGATACTCCCAAGCCGTTACCCATCTAGGTACTGACTAGGCACGACGTTGCTTAACTTCAATGATCGTACGAATTAACAAAATATACCTTGTTGGAATGGGTGAGGGATCTTATATGCTCGTTTAGTTTAACAGGGAAAGTTTTCTGTTTCTAGTATTAATTTTTAACAGTATCCCAATTGTAATAATAATTAAAAAAATGAGAACAAAACAAGTAGTTTCGAATATTTACCAGCAGATTTATAAGTAGCTCAGCATCAGGTTCAAAGTTCAAAGCAAGATCATAAAGAAATAAAGCTTTAGAGATCGCTATTATTCGATCCAATTTGTTCACAATAGTTTTCACGCACCGGATGTCACCACAAGATTTTAAGGCATCCATGTAAAACCTTTGCTGGAGGACCTGCCGACAAAACCAAAAAAAAAAAAAAAATTATTTAAAATAATAATAATAATAATAATAATAATAATAATAATAATAATAACGACAACAAAAACAAAAGCAACAGCAACAGTAATGATTAGTAGTAGCAGTAGCAGCAGTAGTAGTAGAAGTAGTCGCAGTAGTAGTATTTATCAAAAAGTTAAAGTTAAAAAAATCATACGTCGAAGCTACTTCTAAAATGTTTTCTCATTCCTGGAAATTCTCAGACTTCACAAGCCAGCAAATATTTATTTCCATTTAGACTGAATTCTACAAGAGTAAGATTTTATTTACAGTGTAACCCGGATATAAGAGAGTTGTCGGGACCGGAGACGAAGTCTCTTATATCCGGGTTTCTCTTATATCCGGGTTTGGTCTATTTTATATGCATTAACACAGACTCTAATTTGGGACCAGAGAAAATCTCTCTTATATCCGGGTTTCTCTTATATCCGGGTTACACTGTATTGTGATTTAAATTTAAATTTGGAAGAAGCTGCATTTTAAATAAAAGTTCTTAATACATATCCCAAAGAACACAATATGAAAATATTTGCATCCTGAAAAAAAAAATTCTTATTGAAATAATTCCTCAAATTAGATCTAAAGGAGATAGAGAAAAATGGTTTCGATTTTAATTTTTATAAATTTTCATTTCAAAATTAATCATAAAGCTCATTTTACACGTTAAAATTAATTCTGAATTGCTTGCATGAGTTAAATATTTCTTTTTACTAATATACCATTGTTCCTAACAGTTCTCAAATTATATTTTTCTTCTTGAATCGTTTATTTGATTGACATATGTCAGAAATGTCAGAAAGATATTTCTTTTCTAAATTGCAATTCGTCATTTACAGTATTTTGACTCATATTAGATTTCATTTAATTATTCAAAACGTTTATTTTCAAAGCACTTACAGGTATTGCATTGTCACATCCCTGATCATGTTCTGGACACACTTTGATCATGGAAAATGTTTCTTCGAGAACACTTTGGCTTGCTTGTCGGATTCTGTCGACGAAACCGTTAAAGAGACCTGGAATATCACTCATCGGTCGGGTTACATAGGCTGTCACAAGGTCCTCTAGAGATTTCTTTAATTCAGCAGCGGAAATTTTTCCAAATACTTTGCGATGTTCGTGAACGAATACAAATTTTAGATCGGCGTCCTTGACTTTTGATTTAGGAATCTTCATTTTTTTGTCTTTTAGCATGGCGTTCACGTTTTCTTTAAAAGTCAACGATTGACTGAATTGAAGAAAAGAAAAACAAACACGTATCATTATTACTAAATGGCGACAAAAGGATACATTCTTCACCTTTACGACGTCGTAGAAACAAATAAAAAATAGGGACGCGAATTAAAAGGAAAATATTTAAATGTAATTACTTAAAAAAAAAAGATTTTTCTCAAATAATTTGCATTACTTCTGCATTCGACATTGAATATATTTTGTTAAGAATATCTTTCAAATCAAACGAATACATCTTTGGCATTTGCTTTCAAAATAGCTTTAGATAACTTTTAGAAGATTTATTCAAAGTGCATTAGGCCATATCACGTTGAAACATTGGTTCTTGTACGATCACTGAAGTTAAGCTACATAGAACCTGATGAGTACCTAGATGGGAATATCAGGTGTTATAAACTTGGATGTGCGGGTGGTGTAATGGATTACTGATTGGAATTGGAAATCAGAGAGCGAAGTTTCAGTTCTAGCCATGTTTGTTATATTCACTTACGCCCAAATAAAAATAGTTTCCTGCAAAAGGTTGACAAGCCGTAAAAAACAAATCAATTAATCAAAGAGCGTTATGCAACTTCATACTAATAAATGTCTTTGCTGTAATCTTTGTCTTACAAGAAAAATATTCTTTATTATTTTTGAATACTAAGTCCCTTCTAGGCATAGGTGTTAATGGCTCTTCACCCTTTCTATTCCTTTAATGATTGTGAATTTCTATGACTTTTCTTGGGAAAGGTAATGGAGTGGTCTTCCCGTTGACTTCTCCACGGTTCGGGATTCAGTATCTTATGTTTTGACTAGTCCATCCCACTATTTTACCGATAGCCAAAAATGATGACAAGAGGTGTACTCATTCTTTTCCTACGGTCAAAATTATTTATGATATCATAAAGCTTCTCGATATTCATATTATTCGTTGATTTCAAAACTGGCTTCATATATTTGCACAGCTTCTCTCAGATTGTAAAATTCAATATTTAAAGTTATTTTAATACCATATTCCTCAAGTACGTGGGCAATCATGACTCTCCACAGAATCATTTTCTTTATTATCGGTGAATTGTACATGCATTCTTAGGAATGATATTGAAGTGGTTTGTCGTTGCCTTTTCCGTGGTTTGGAATTCAACGTTTACCTTATCTTAGACCGGTTGTCTCCCAAGGCGAGAAAGCCCAGTCTATTCTGCTATTTAACCCATAGTCGAGTAGAGAAGAGATGGATCTTGTCGTTACACAAGGAGATAACTGCGAAATAAAAATCAATGTTTCTTTTTTAATGTCATGTCCCCTCAGGATGTAGGCGATCGTGATTCCATAAAGATACTTTTTCTTTATTTACTGTAAATTACCATGACTTATTAGGAAAAATAATGTCTCTTATATTGTTTGTCATACAAGGTGAGAGAATTCAGTCTATTCTGATATTTAACCCATGGCTGCGGGGAGAAGAGTAGGATTCATGCTTCTGCCAAGGACATGTGTGTGAAAGTGAGCGCAACAAAGTAACCTGGAATTTGAACTCGGCTCCCCAATTACGCTTTTCACTACGGTATCTGTTACACTACCTACCTATACAATATTAGTTTCTTATTCAAGCTGAAAATCTGATTATGACTTAAACAGCTGTACTGTTTTGAAATTAATTTCATTATAAAAGCAATATCATTATGAATCTTGGCTTGAAAACTATACAGAAAAGACACCCTTCTAAGTTCTACGCTATGAGTTCACATACGATTTAATCTAAAGTAAACAATAGGACAACATTAAGAGCAAATATCAATGACAAAATCTGAAAAAGAAATACTAGTTAATGTATTAGGATTTTCACATATTTCTATTAGGTTGAGTCATAAATAATTTCCATTTTTATCAACTTTAAAGTATAAAGTACAATTAAATTTATGTTTCCATTTATAAGTAGATCTTCAATATCTTATGAGTAAAATTCCACAGGTTTTGACACGAAAAGATTTCTGAAAAACACTTGTATCTGGATTTCCATATAGAAAATATTCATCATCAAAGCGTTTTGAAGCGATCGAAAAAGGTAATAATTGGTTGATGCAAGGTCAAGAAAATATGGCGGCTGAGTTAGAACAAACCAGCAAATTTTCACAATTTTTTGCTTGTGTTATTATTACTATATGTGGCTTTGTACTGCCATGAAAATAACATTTTTCCTATTGATGAGCGCAGCACACTTTTCGACCAATCTTTTATGGACATGTTAGAGCTGGTGGACGTATAAATGTGCATTTAGTATATCATTGCGTATTCAGAACTCTAATTGAATAATACACCAATGATTACCTTTCTTCCATGGAGCTCAGCTTTTGGCGTCGTTTGTGGAGATTTATTCTTGTCAATCAACTTTGTCTTGAGCATTGTCGCATGTCACGAAGAACTGTTGGAACTGCTAGGTAACCTTGATATATTTGAGAAAGGGGTGTACGCCAAGGACATGTCTTCTCACCGGACTTATTCAATCTATGCAGTGAGAGGATTTTGAGAGAATTTCTGCAGTGACACAGTGTTGATAGAAGGACACAGAAAGGAAACTACAGGAGCTCCTACAGAAGGCAGTATAAGAAAGCAAGAAGGAAGGACTAAACATCAATTTCAAGAAGACAGAATGTATGGCTGCTAGCAAAAGGATCAGCCCATCTGGAAATGCCAAAATCAAGCAAGTACAAAAATGTAAGTATCTGAAAACGGAAAATGCAACACCAAAATCCGAAAGCGAAAAATGTCTTTCAAATGTTAAGCAAAGTAATAGAAAAAAAATCCTTAGAAACAAAGAGTACTGAATTGTTATGTAATATCACTCCTCCTATATGGCAGTGAAAATCTCCTCTTAAATGAAGAAAAGACTTGAAGTAACAGAAATGTAATCCAACAGAAGGATGCTGAGAATACCATAGATTGAACATGTGAGAAGAAATAAAGTTTTAAGGCAAATGGAAACAAAATGGACATTTGTATTTAACATCTAAAAGAGACAGTTGAAATTTCTAGAGCACGTAATTGAGGAAAGTGGGCTTGAAAAATTTGCCACTCCGAGGACATAGGAAAACAATGCATAGCCTATATAAAGAGCTTGTGTAAATAGATAGCATGGATTAAGATAGATAGCAAAGAAACAAACTTTATTAAGAACTACAAAGGACAGGAAATTGTGGAGAGCCATAATCGCCGGCGTCCTGAAGAACATAACACATAAAGTGAGAATAATTTTCGCATGTTTGTGTAAACATATTGTTCTTAATTGCCACATATGATTCATAATTGCGATAATAGATTTGGAAATTAATTATAACTCAACCTAATATAAACCTTTTGTTTTTTCGAATATCTTCTTAATTACCTTATATTATACATTGCAGTTGCATCAATATTGCCATAGTGTTTCAACACGCGGAAGGCCTGGTTTTGCAAGCAGGACACGGAACTGATCTTCTGTTCATCAGTGACTGTGTAATCGCAGTTATAAGTTGAATCAAAAGGGTAGATCATCTGCAAAAAAGGAAATTACAACAATGCTCACTTCTCGTTCATTCAATTAAATCGTCATGCAATGTTTTACATTTCAAATTCAAAGCATGGGAATTAAAATTATAATAATCGGAGAGCGCTTTACAATCCTCTGAAGGTAATGCAGCAGAATTAATGACAATTTTTTTTGATTTTGACACTCATAGAAATCTAAGTTATTTTTTGTGTATTATGAATATTTAATAAGAAATAAATTCATTTTTTAAAAATATGTTTGGTGAAAACAATTATAATTCTTAAACTTGTCGGTTCTTTATTTGATTTGTAATTATAAACGGTTTTCTAAGTTGTTTATTGTCATGTAAAATGAATTATTTAAAAATCGTCAAAGGTATTTTCTTTACACAGGTTGATCGATTTGGTTTGGTTGTTTTCGTTTAACGGCATATCAATATCGGAATGGGTTATTTAATGTCAAAATCTAACTATGAAAATTCAAACTTCATAATTAATTCAAGGGAATAACATTATTTCATGATTAAATTATAATGACTTAACTGCATTTTACTTTTACCAAATAATTTTACAATATCAAATGAGAAGTGAAAATTTATTTTTCCTTACAAAAAATAAGATTAATCATAGCAAATTGTTTATTTTTTTAAATTTTTTAATTATTTGACAATGTAAGCTATGTCTTCTATTTTGCTATAAAAATGTATTGTTGGTAATTTTACTATTAAAATATATTGTTTAAATTTTACAATTAAAATGTATAGTTGATCATTTTACTATAAAAGGTATTGCTAGTAATATGTTTTTTATAAAAATTTATTGCTGGTAATTTTACTACAAAAATGTATTGTTGGTATTTTTTATAAAAATATATTGTTGATATTTTTATGATAAAAATGTATTTTTATACTTTCGTAGTCTTTTGATTTTTGTTTGGGGTTCACTATTTTTCCATAGCAAATTCTACCACCCCGGGTCAGGGTAGGCCTGGGAACAACAGCAATTAAGAGGTGGTTCCAACTCTTCTTAAAACCTCCCATCTCCCATCCAGAGGCCTTGCTGCCGGATGTAGTTTATCGTCATACCCAGGACTATACGTGGGTTGAGCCGGTATTTAATGAAACCTCATTGTACTAAAAAAACAGAAGGTCATTTTTCAAATTAGTCATGAATAAAAGTTTGATTACTTACTTCTGAAATGTTTTTAACCTGACGTCCCCCCAAAACTGTTTTAATCAGGGATTTTAGGTTGAATTGAAACTCAAAAATACTGGGAAGATCACAATGAGTAATATCCATTTTGGTGTGAATCGTCCATGGTTTGGTTTTGGAGAGCGAGTATTGGACCGGACACGTGCCAAAGATTTCTTGCTGAAAAAAAGAAAACATCATTAGGTAACTTAATATTAATCCATACTAATCCGATATTAACTAATTAGATCATCGTATATCGTAAATATATCGATACTTTTCTGTAAATCGCCAGCCACCAAAACTTTTTTCTGAATTTTTGTAAATTACATGCCATGAATATGACAAATTAGCAATGGGAACATTTAGTTGCTAGATTTTCACTGGATAGCGTATGAATCTGTCAATGGAGTGACGAGGGAATAAAATAAACGCAAGAAAGAAAAGAAAGTATAAATTTAATTTTATAAACGTTTTCCGTGATTGAAAATATATCTAAATACCAACGTTTAAATCTTCTATTGAGGCGGCCAATAAGCGGTAATAATAGCCAACATTTTGTGAAACAAATTCAAATTTCTATGGCATTTTCTCCACATGGCACGCAAAAATCAAATTAAATGGGAAAACAGAAAACCTGAAAAAACAATGTTCTGACTATATCCCAGTAGATAAAAGCACTGTATGTGTAATCCAAAAAGTGAGGTAAGCCAAAGAGTTGTGAATTCCATACCTGGCCAGAGGTAATAAAAACTTGGAGAGTTGAGTTACTAAAGGGAATTAACTGATATCCAAAAAAGGCAGAGACGTGTAATTAGAACAATCTACCCTCGTGGACTAAATAAAGAGTCCGATGCGAAATCCCGACATATATCACTGATGAAGGCCGGAACGTACAACGGCTGAAACCTCGTGAATAAGGCAATAAATATGAGGACAGCAGTTCGAACGAGATAAACAGTGTAAATAGAGACAATACCTCATCTCAGAAATATAGACAGATATTATGAATGAATTGAAATACTATGAAATTGAATTATGAATGAATTACGAATGAATTAAAATATTATTGAAATCCTTTCTCCTCACTAAAGTTTTCTCATTCTCTTTCCGAGTAGCATTTTAACCTTGGTTGGGGTGAAATGATTAAAAAAAATACCATAATGAATTAGTTTTTTCTTAAACATTTCACTCAAGGAAAGCGATAAAGCCACTAAATTGCAAGGGGCTACTGAGAGTAAAAGAGGCTGATAAAACGTTATTAAAAAGAGAGAGGACAATAAAATACATTACACTACGTGATTGTTTACTTATGATTTTAACAATGATTGGTCATAAGATCAAATATCGGGAAAAATGACATCATTATATTTTTTCAATGGAAATATTTGTCAGTGTTTAGTTTTGAAATTTTGTTTATGTTGAATCCAAATCCTCTGAGAATGTTAAGAGATAAATAAGAGATAAGATAAATAAGAGATAAACTGAAATAATCATTGTAGAAAACGAATAAACAGACAAAAATAAACGATAAATTTACATACATTTTTAATGCGGAATATTTAAGTTAATTACTGAAGTACAATGCGTTAACTAACAATGATCAAATTATAATTGAGCAGTATTCAGTTCCAATAGGCAGTTTAGTTTTAATAATCATATTTATTATAAAGGTTGTGTGTGTGTGTGTGTGTGTGTGTGTGTGTGTCTGTTCGTTTATATATTGGATCGCATTTCCTACATTTTTCAACCGATTTCAACAAAACTTCATAGGACTACGTAAAATTACCTTGCGATGGTTCTGACAGCGCCAAAAATTGGAAAAAACACAATTGTTTTTGCACGAAATCAATTTGAAAACACGATTAAGAGGCATCACTATCACGAGAATGAAAGGGGGACAACTCATATCGAGTTTATACTTATTATAATACTCAGGTTGTTTGTTTGTTTGTTTGTGTGTGTGTGTGTGCTCGTTTATATATAAGATCGGATTCCCTACATATCTTGCACACTTTTTTCTTTATTTTTACATTCAGAATGCTTTAAAAATTCCATTTACAAGACAATTGTTTATAATAAAATTCTATTCAATCGATAGACTCATAACGATTGAAAACAATGTTTTTGTTTGAGTTTGACCAATTCGTAAAAAAACAAAAAACAAAACAAAAAAACAACTAATTAAGACATGCGTGTCCTTCAACCTTAAACAATAATCTTTGTCAATTTTAATTTTTCAGTCTTTATGATGATCGATACTTGATCTATCTCTTACTGTTACATCCCCCGGCAACGCTGGGCTCTACTGCTAGTTTTAGAACATAACTAACGTGAAAATAGTGAGACAAACTACAGGGTGGTTCAAAAGTCTTGTCACCTCTACATGAAATAATTTTCTATCCCGGATGGCTGACACGAACTTTTACAGTTTGGAAGAGAAGTAAAGGGCAACAAGACTTTCGGACCAGCCGAGAAATAGGAAGGCCGTAGTTTGCGAGAATATGAGAGAAACAGAAGTCTAGGTAAGGAAAACAACGAGGTTTATTAAATACTCATACACAGAACGGAAAAAAAACTTAAGTAAATCAACTACTGCTCAAATCCTACTCTAATGTGGCTACTTGCCATATTTATAAGTAGGAGCCGTCCATTTTTACAGTAGTAGGGAAAATCAGGATGAACGCTAAGTCCTATTCTGCAACAGAAAAATAATTGATAAAAAACCAGAAAGACCACCTCAAGGACAAAATCATCAATAGACTATTTACAAAGTGAGTAAAGGCGTTGGTTAGATCCAGTGACAGGACCCAAAGAGTTGTGAGTTCAATACCTGGTTAAGGCAGTGGAGAACTTGGAGAGGGGAATTAACAGGAGATAGCTGATAACTGACATCCATTAGACGTGGCACGTGGAACTAGAACAGTCTATCCCAGCGAGCGAAATAAAGGGTTCGACATTCCAACCATCTGAAGAAGTCTGGAGCCGAAACGTTGTGATAAATATGGCAACAAAGATGAAAATGATAGTCCGAATAATGTATATTGTACATAATAACTCATTTCAGAAATATAGACAGATACCAAAATCATCAATCAGTTTTTTCTCCCAAACATTAATTTGAAATATAAAAGGATCTTTTTCTCATACGATGGCGACTTCTAGAATTACACAAAATAATAGTTGATCGAGGATTTACTTCAGATAAGTTACAAAGAAAAATGTTGAGGATTTTCGTGGAAAAAAAAAACTCGCCTGGTTCAAAATTTGTTCATATTTTTCAGGAGCCTGCATTTTTAACTGAAGTGTTCGGATGATGGCACGTTTCATATTAAGAATACTTTCAGAGTCTTGTTTATGGGCTGTTATCTTTCCATGTTTAATCAGACCATCTTCCAGGACGAACTCGATGTGACGCCTTTGGAATAGAAAAATGGAAAAGAGATGAGAATGAAATGAAAATCACTTGGGAATACGATTAAATATCCAATGAATATACCAAAGACAGATAAGACAGTGTAGGTATTGAAAACTTTGTGAGGATGTGCAAATGATAACGAGAAATTTCGATACCTCTCAAGGGCAAAATATTCCCGACATTGAAAATCAGTATTTCAAACGATATCTGAATTCATTCATACATTGATTAGCATTGTTGAAGGCAAACATATTTCTATTCTGACAACCGAGCTGTTCATATAAATAGTAAACTTCCAGGCAATGAGAACTTCAGTATGTTCTTTGAAACTTCATCTTGAGATGAACCCTCTGAAGTATTACAGAAAATCTTATTCAGATGACTTCAATTTAACAATGAACTTGAAATCATGATTTTGTATGGGCAATTCACACACACACACACACACACACACACACACACATATATATATATATATATATATGAAGAAAAATATATACGGAAAAAACAAAACAAAAATCCTTATATACGATTATGTTGTTTTAATGTTAATATATCAATGTCTGACGTTTCGGTCTAATAAACCATCTTCAGGACATATTCATAAATATAACATTATCAATACAACATGACAAAGACGATGTACATTAGAACAAGACTTATCCAAACAATAACTGAAAGTTTTATAATATTAACATTAAAACAACATAATCGTATATAAGGATTTTTGTTTTGTTTTTTCCGTATATATTTTTCTTCATACTGTCGGATCTATATCCATATATTTGCTTACATATGTATGTAATATATATATATATGTGTGTGTGTGTTGAGAGGGAGTGGACACAGGAATCAACACTGTATGATGTCAGTTTTACTCTTAAAGATGATCTTCAATTATATATATATATATATATATATATATATATATATATATATATTAATTGATTTAAAATATGTTTTTTTCCGCTACACAGTTCTAACCATGTTTCAAAAATGGAAGCTAAAAGCCACGAATTTAATTTTGCAATTAAATTAAAGACATTAGTTCCATTTCATCCTATAAGAACACCGGCTTACTGTTCTTTCTTTATATATATATATATATATATATATATAAGAATCCGGAAAATCCGCTGGGCTCTTTTGAGAAAAGGTTGATTTTAAAAACAGAGGCTCATACCGCTATTAACGCATTGCTCTTCAACTGAACTGAATTGAGCTTTCCTGGCCACTGACGCATTTTGCATAGAAAACGTTAAAATTATATTTGTTACTTGATGTAATTTTAATTTCATTTGTTGTTTTTAATGCTTTATCTCTTCTCATACTTGCAAGACTGCATTTCCTTAAAAGCGGTATCTTCCTGAAATAAGCTGATCTAGCGCTTGGTTATTTCTTTATTGCGAAGCACAATCTTTGTTATTTTGTAATACTCTCTCGTGTACACACATCTATCTATCTATCTATCTATCTATCTATCTATCTATCTATCTATCTATCTATCTATCTAAACACTAATGTTTTTTTCCAACCACCGACTAAATTGTTTTATACCAAAATTAAGATTAAATTTGGTAGACTTTCCAAAATTCATACATGCACTGCCCTCTCTCGTAGGTTGACTTGCTATATGGCAAAATTTAGTGCAATTCTTGGGCATATAAATCAATATATCGCAAATAATCAAAGTAATATTAACATAAGACAAATCTGAATAGATAACACCAAAATATTATATAAAACTCAATGTAAAGAAAAACTCAAAATTCTGAGATACAAGTGGAAAAGCCAACATTAAATCGGGTATCTTTCTCTATAGAAGATTGTATATTTCTATTAAAAAAAAAATCCCATAAAAATTTAGTTAGAACCGTTGTAAATGAAGTCACCTTTAAGTGACTTAAAATTGGTTCCAACAAACAAGGGAACACCGGAATTAACCAAACATATTTTTTATAAACAGACTAAACACGCAATTCTTGATAACGATTGTAGTGACCTGAATTTTGGAAAGTTTACCAATTTTAACTCTGACATAAATAAACTTAATCAGAAATTGAAAAAACTTAATAATACCAATATTATATATATATATATATATATATATATATATATATATATATATATAATATGATAATAATATTAATCAACAATTATAACAAAAACATATAAGTCGCTACATGAATGTAATCATGTTTCAACACTGTATGTGCTTACATGGATGAAAATATCACATAAAATAGTTCTTACATAAAAGAAAATATCACATAAAATAGTTCTTACATGGAAGAAGATATCACATAAAATAGTTCTTACATAGTAGAAGATATCACATAAAATAGTTCTTACATAGTAGATATCACATAAAATAGTTCTTACATAAAGGAAGGTATCATACAAAACAATTCTTACATAAAGGAAGATATATAAAACGGTTCTTACTTCTCCAAGTTTTTGGCATAAGATTGATCCGTTCGACTGTAACCTTGGTTGTTCTTTTCCATCATTTCACATTTGTTAAGACTGACCTACAACAAAACAGAAATACTGGGAAAAGGCAAAATTAATTTTATTTCATCGAAATAATTTCCCGCAAAATTTCTCAGTAGGTTTATCAGTTATATGTCTGACTGAAACAAAATTGAGCAAATAAGACGGGAGAAGTAAGAAAAGAGGAAAAGAGAAACGGGAACAAAATAATAACGTTTCAAATGTGCTCATATTTCTTACAATGGGTTACCCACTCAATCGCATGTTGACCTGCTGTTGCTTCTGAACAAAATCTTATCTTCTTACATAATAAATATGTCACAAATCCATCCACCGTGGCATCTGAAGTATTTAGAATTGATTAATTCTACATCCTGAATTTTTAGGATGGATTCAGGTTACGTGCCATCACGACTCTCATTCTAGTTCCAGATCATGTTGAAGTTGGAGAAAAAGAAATGTCCTTTGTGTCTGGCCGATCCAGCAAGTACCTCACTCCTCCTGCTTTCTTCTACCTTTACAAAAGCCAGATCAGACCGAAAATGGAGCACTGCTGCTATATATGGGCGGCAGCTGTCCACACTTCAATTTCCTCTCTCGATAGACTCCAAAAGCGTCTTCGCGCCCTTGTAGGAAACGAATTATTTTCCACTCAGAAACCCCTTTTTTTTGCAGACGAGACGTCGCAAGCCTCTTGCTGCTCTATCGCTATTTCCGTGGAGAGTGTTCAGATGAATAACACTCCTTAATTCCACCATTCTAACCTTCACGGCAAAGACCTGCCATGCCACGAACATTGTAGCGAACCATCCTCATATTCCCCTGGTAAGATGTAAGTTCCATTCAAGCAGCTTATTCCCACAAGCCAGTGCCTTGTGGAACCAACTCCCAAGAGGTTGCTTACCCGATCACAACAATCTTAACCTGTCCTAAGTCTAGGGTTAATCGTTATCTTCCACACATCTGAATAAACTGTGCCGCTTACTCTGTAACCTTCTACCTCGAGTGGCCATGGGGCCTTCTACAGGTTGAACATCAATGGAAAAGAAAATGGTAAACTGCACTTACTATATTGATTATAGATTTATTATTTATTACTATAATCTACGAAAACTATAATCTAATATATAATATTATATATATAATATTATATATTAGATTATATATATAATATGTATTATATAAATTATATTAAATAAAAAAACACAGTTAGCATTGATTATAGATTTACTAATATTATATATATATATTATATTATAGATTATTAGATTATATATATTATATTTATTAGCCCGCTATATATATCCAAACACTGAAATGCTATGGAAGTAAATCCAGACAGAAAATTTATTAAGTGGTTGTCAAACACTGAAATGCTATGGAAAAATCCTCAGAAAATCCGAAGGGTTGTGACTCTGGTGACTTCTGCAGTCATGCCGGCTTCAGATGTAATGCCCTGTCTTCTTTTGGCTCTTGTTGATACGGCCAAGTGGTGGGTCATAACGTTTGGTTATTTCATCGACTCCATTTGCCATCACCTAGGCCTGCATCCTGGAGAGGTCACATCAGCTTTACCACCAATGGATTCCAGTACGTCTTCAGATTTCTATGTCAACTTCTCTGCCATCCGTTATAACACTTAGTTAAATTTTTGTCTTTGCTTGATTTTAACGTCTTCATTTTTTAACTCGCCACTTGCTCTGGCCTTCTTGCTAACGATCATAAATTCTGTCTCCTTACAATTGATGGTTAAAGGAAAAAAGGAAGAAAAGACTAATTGTTAATTGCAAGAAAACAGAATGTATGGTTGATAACAAGAGTGGACTAGCAATTAAGTAGGAGAAGAAAAATGAACAAGAAAATTTGTCTTCGTGTACTTCTAAAATACAATCATGATTCATTGTCCCCCTTATCGCCGGAACTTGATTATATATGTAATCCTTAATATGAATTGACGTATTTGATCAATAAATCCCAACTGCGATTTCATATGCAGTATAAGCAAATTGTAAAATAATAAAATAGAAACAACGAAACTTGTGAAAGAGTACATTATCAATTTTCTACAAACTCTTTGTATCTATAGAAAACTGTGAAACCGAAGAAAATTTTGAAATTAAATAATTACCTTTGTGACATCGTTACACTGACAAGGAGTAATAACATTGACGATGCATGATAGTTTTAGTCCGGAGCGTTCGTCGCTTGTTCCGACGAAGCCAGCATCCGCCATTGCTTCGTATTTGTAGACATACTTCTGATTGGGCAGGAACCAACCTAGGTAATAAAAATTAATAAAAGTTCTCGAATCAGGAGAGGTTTTCCTCACCTTAATCACAAATGGTAAACAAATACACAAAAAATTGTTTATTTAGCAGCATATCAACACCTTATGGGTCATTTAATGCCGAAATTTAATTTTCTTGGGAGCATTAGTAATTACTTTTACAAAAATGTATTGCTAGTAATTTTTAATGTATTTCTGGTAATATTAAAAACTATGAAAATGTATTGATATTATGAACAGAACTCTTTGTAAGGAATCAGTTTGTAGATCAGGTTTCATTGACGTATTTTTGTAAAGAGGATTTTTGTCAAGAGCCAAATTATTGCTGGTAAAAAAAAATACTATAAAAATGTATTTTTATACATTCATAGTGTCCTGGCCCTGTTATTTTTTGGTGGGGGTCACTATTTACCCATAGCTTGGACCCTAACAGGTGCTACAACCTCGGGTCAGTGTAGACCTGGGAACAATAGCAATTAAAAGGTGGTTCCACGCTCCTCAAAACCTCCCGATCAGAGGCCTTGTTTATCGGCATACAAAGGACGACATAAAATTTAAGAAAACTGAATAAAGAAATAGCGTTTTTTAACAGAAGATAATGAAAATACACTCGAAAGTACATACAGATCATCGCTTTGTGAAATAATATGGCGGACCTTGTTAACCATGTTTGCCGTAGTCTCTGGATATGGAATCTAGTGAAGTCCGTAATATGTTCAATATCAGAGGTTGGCAGTGAAGATTCAGAGAAAGTAGCGGTTGTTAAGTAATTCTTTAAGTTTTCGGTACCAGGTTGCAGTGAAAATATTTTGGGAGAAAAAATAAAATGGCTGCCTTTATACACGTCGCATTGAATATTTTGAGCTTTCTAATTGGTGAACTATAAAATGAGTCAGTTCATTTTGGCTAGCTCACTAGTACACATTCTCAAAAACTGTAACAGACCTTCTTGAGTGTGCCGTGTCCCTTCAGGACGTTGACGGTATCGCTCTCCACAATTTCCTGTCCTTTGTAGCTTTTAATAAATTTAGCTCGGCCAACCATTTACTCAAGCTCGTTAGGTAGGTTATACACTTTTCCCTCTATCCTTCTTGCCTTCAATATGTCCTGTGTCAAATTTTCCAAACCCACTTTTCTCATTATGTGCCCTAGAAATTTAAATTTTATCTTTCTGATAAGTGTCCTTTTTGTTTCTCTTTTCCTTAAAACTTCGTCATTGCTCACATGTTCAGTTCATGGTATTCTCAGCATCCTTCCGTAGAACTACATTTCTGTTGCTTCAAGTCCCTTCTTCATTTTAGAGGAGATTGTCCAGAATTCACTGCCATCTAGGAGGAGGGATATTACGTAACAAATCAGTAATCTTTTCTTTGTTTCTAACGAACTTTTCTTGTCTCAATACTTTGCTTAGCTTTTTGGAGGTATCTTTCATGGTAACTGCTTTGATGTGCTTTATTCCCTCGTGCCACGACTACATGAATTTAAGCGTGCTACTAGATTGGCATCCAGGTCCCACCCTTTTACCGCCATTTCTATTTCAACTTTCTTTTTTCGCACTTCCCGCCTGTGGAATTCCCTTCCGCTTACTTGCTTGCCTGATAACTATAATAAACTAAAAAAATGTAAATGTAACGACAATCGCCATCTTCTGTCTTCTTGAATCCCGTTCATCTTTTATCTTTTCCTCAATCCACCCTATATCCAGTTTTTCACTCTCTGTGATCCCCTGCGTACTAGTGGCATTCCCGCCTTGCTTGGGGTGAAATGATTAAAAAAAAAAAAATCTTTCGATATCCCAATGCGCTTTCGGATTTCAGTGTCACAGTTCCTGTCCTCTCTCTTTTAAAACAATTCCCAGATATTAACATTGTTATATAGATGACCAACAACACACATATTTCATTATGATGTTCATATTTTATACAAAACGTATGTTATAACATATTTAGTAAAAAAAATTGCAGAGATGTAGGATGTAGAATATTGTGGAAAACTATTTAACTGCTTAAAGTGGGCTTCCTCAGTTTGGAATAAGAGACAAACTCTTGTGTGAGAAAAGGATGCTGGAATATGGGGAGGATGTAATAAATGCCCTTATCAAAAGTTGCAGCTATAAAATTGGTCTTTTTTTTTTACTGAATTTGGATTTGACGTTTGGATTTTAAATTTACTGCTTTTGTCCTCGATTAGTCAGTATATCGTATTGTGCTCCTCAGATATTCTGCGATGATGGTGGATACCATATAAGAATATTAAGAGCAGTGCACGTTCAATGATTCCTGTTCTTAGTAAATGCTTTTCTCTTTAAATTCAAAGTGGCATTTTAGATTGAAATTGTAGTCAGATGTGTTACAGTGAACTAATAGTGTGTTTTAAGTGTTTAATTGTTGCTGCTGTTCCGTTTAGCACGGACATTATTTTATATTGTTCTAGAGGTGGTGTTGATAAAGTTTAGAGAAATGATGGATGTTCTTTTCGAGAGCGGACGTTATGAAGTTTGTGGGTAGAATTATATCCCTATTTTTGTCAAGGATGTTGGGATTTTATTGTATATGGATTATTCTGGTAGGGTGGATTTTATAGACTTTGTATTTAATTTTATATTAGAGGGGTCTGAATGTGTTTTCAATGTAGTTTTCCTCATTGATTAAGTTTTACAGGATATAGATTCTAAGACTGCTTATAATAATTATTTTAAGATTCTAATAATTAATTTAATAATTATTTTAAGATTATAATAATTATTTTAAGATTTTAGTTCTCTTTTAATTACTATCAAATAATTCAATTACGGATTTTTAATTATAAAGAAAATGTTCTTTATTAATACTTTTGTTTGCGACTTAATAGTTTAAAAATTTTAATTCTTTTATTTGGATTCAATAAAATTTCCTTTGTATTTGTCTCTTCTTCTTCTTTGAGCTGTGTCCTTTTAGGACGTTGGCAATCATGGCTCTCCTCAACTTCCTGTTCTTTGCAACCCTTTGTAAATCTTTTCATATCCCTGTTCTGCCAACCATTTACACAAGCTCGTTAGCTTGGTTATGCACTGTTTTCCTCTGTCCCTCTTGTCTGTGTGTATCAAAGTTTCCATGCCCTCTTTCCTTATTACATGCCCTAGAAATTTCAACTGAGTCTTTCTAATGCTACCTATAAGTCTTTTTTTGCTTGTTTGTTTCCATTTTTTTCTAAGACTTCGACGTTGCTCACGTGTTCAGTCTATGGCATTCTCAGTATCCTTCTATAGAATCGCATTTTGGTGCCTCAAGACTCTTCTTCATCTATGAAGAGATAGTCCAGCACTCACTGCCAAGAAGTAGGAGTACTGATATTACATAACACTCCAGTACTCATTTCCTTTTTCTAATGAAATTTTCCTGTTTCTTAATACTTTGCTTTGCTTTTGGAAGGCATCTTTCTCTATTCTTGATATGCTTTTGTTTTATTTCTCTTTTTTTGCCATTTTTCATCGTCTTTGAATTTTTATATCTTTCCAGCAACTTTATACCATATTTTCTCTATTCCCCAAATATCAACCAGCTAAAAGTTTCTTTTCTTGATCAAAAGTATGAATATAAGCAAAAACATTAATATCTCTATGGTATCAGTTATCAGAATTTAATGCTTTAGCGGTATACATTCTTTATATATAACACAGCTTATTATATAAACAATTCAACCAGTCTTTAAAGAATATATAGATTCTTCTGTGAATAGGTAAATTACTATTTGTCTTCAATATTTATCATTATGATGGTCTAGTGTCGCATAGATTTGGCACAAGGCTGAAAGTATAGAGCACGCAGTAAAGATGCGAATTCAGTATTCAATAGTAAATAATTATAGTTAAGAAGAAAAAAAGATCAAACATGCTAACGATTGGACCATGTCGAAGTGCGCTAAATTGTTTTCTAAGCCTAGCTTAGATGTGGCACAAGGTCGAAAGAATGGAGCACCCAGTGAGAACTGAAAACATTACTCAGCTCTAATTGATCAAGCGAGACAAACTTGCTAGCATTTAAACCATGTCAAATTGCTCAGTGGTTTTCTAAGCGTAGCTTAGATGTGGCACAAAACCGAAAGTGTGAGGTACCCAGTGATGAACGAACTGATTATTCAATCGTAAGCTTGTTAACCATTATACCACGTGAAGGTACTCTATGTTTATGATAATCTTAGCTTCTGATAGAAAAAATGCGAGTGTAAATAAAAAAAAAGTCAAGGCAATTCCCACACGACACCTTTATTTCCATTAATGAAGAACAAGTGCATATATCACTTTTCAATATAGTACCCCCTGCATGGTGATGCACTTCTAGTATCGTTCAAGGAGCTTATTCATCCCTTCCGAAAAGAAGCTTTTTCGGTTGCACACGAAGCCACTTCTGCATCACTTGCTTATTTGGACACCCAAGGCGCTCAAGGTTTACAGTACCCGCAAAACGGTGAGCATGGACTATGGCTTGTACAGATGATACTCATGATTGCCGCGACTTATTCATATGTTTTCCCCAATCAAGGTGTCCACCGTCCTGGGTATGACGATAAACTACATCCGCGTCCTGGGTAAGACGATAAACTACGCCCAACAGCAAGGCCTCTGATCAGGAGGGTTTCTGGAGCGTGGAACTACCTCTTAATTGCTGATATTCCCAGGTCCACCCTGACCCGGGGTGATATCACCTATTAGGGTCCCAGCTATGGACAAATAGTTAACCCCCGAAACTCGGTTAAAAAAAACTATGAAGGTGTAAAAATAGGTTTTAATACCAGAAATACTTTGTAAAAAAATTATTACCAGCAATAATTTTTTGAAAAACAAATATTACCAGTGAAGGAAAATTCTTACCAGAAATAAATTTTTAGAAAAAAATACTACCAACAATGAAAATTTTGTCGGCATTAAATAACCCATGCCGTAAAACAAACAAATCAAGGTGTCCACCCTCTGGATGCGTTCTTCTGTACGCGATGTTGAAGGGATGAGCAAATCGGCTTCCGTTCGAACACTTGTTCTCACCGCTTTAAAGCGTTCTACCCACATATACACCTTTCATTGATTTATAGTGCCTACTCGATTTTTATCCTGCGAGGGATTTTGGCTCTACAGAAAGCGAACTACGGCGCGTTTTTCCTCGATTGTGCAATCACTGAGTGGAGCGTCCATACGTCTGATCTCGCTGCTCCCTACCACTTGACTGAACGGTCCGCAGCTAGCTTCCTGTCATCCCATGCGCACGCGTGATGTCACGTATCGGCGCTTCCCCATTGTATTTACCGGGTAATTTCAAATTTGCTTTGCTTTCTGATTCACCCCCGTTTAAAAGAAACGAATTGTTCGTTGAAGGTACAAAAGATGAGTAGTTAAAAAAAATGCTTACCTTTTTCACATCTGCTGCAACTCGCTAAGGCAGACGCTGAAATTTAAAAAAGAAAATGACAAATGTAAGAAAGAAAGGAGAATTATGAGACTATTTTGTACTCTATCGTGACTATAAAGTTAGAAAAATATCTAGACCCCGTGAAGGAATAGGCAAAATGTGAAACATGAAAGTGAGAATTATACTCATAGTTATTGAAGTGTTTGAAACAGTCATGAAGAGAGTTGCAACAAGGATTACCAGTATAGGGTGCCCGATGTGGATCAAATTCCTTACTCAGTAGTAGGGGTCAAATTAGCTTCAATCACAGACTGCAGATTCTTCTGGACGGTCTCCTTGTTTAAGTTGGTAAATGCTACCATAAACGTTGCCTTCAGTTACTCTTTGATGTTACAAGAAGTTTTTTTGGTCTCTCTCTCTCTCTCTCCTCTCTCTCTCTCTCTCTCTCCTCTCTCTCTCTCTCTCTCTCGACTGAGACCCACACATAGTAATCAAGGGAGTTGTAGTGCGGGGAGTTAGGCGGACAGATTTAAGGGGTGATATGGTCTCAGAAATTGTATGACAGCCGTGACGAGGTTCTTCTGCTTGTGTGGTATGGTGCCGAGTCCTGTTGTAGGACATAGGATCATTCAGTAGCCACTCTCTTGACTCAGGGCAGCACTACCTCCTCAAGGCACTTGGTGTAGGCCTCTGTGTTGTGTCTGAGACCTTGTAGGAAGATGAATAGAATCATAACATTATTATCACTAGCAATCACGTCAAACACTTTCCTAATCACCATTCAACTCTTTCCGAATCCTCTGTACTGTCCTCAAATTGACATCCAAACACTCTGAAATGTTCATATTGGAGCTTCCGGTGCGGATGCCAAGCATTACAGTACGCCGTTTCCAAATGTCGGAGGAACTGAATTGCGTCATGGTGCTCTTTTTCTCATAGATGGTGCCCAACTAACCCTGCTCTACTGTGCAGTTGACAAAATCTAAAACAAACAACGTGCATGCGCTAAGTTAAAAATATAAGATGACGATAATTTACCCATCATACCTTGTATATTGATTTTTTCTATTGTATATCTTTTTTCTATATCTTTTTTTTTTTTTTTTCATAATGTAAGAATTTCTTCTCAGTTCACTAGTGCATTTTGTATTTAGATAGAAAATATAATTTGAAGTAGATCTGGACTCTTAACAAAAGAACTTATAATAAAAATAAATGTGGCATTAAAATAAAATAAAGAATTTTAAAATTTGTCCTTATATTCTGTGGAGATGCGAAGTGTTACCCCACAGTTCAGCATATTTGAACCGCATGCAAAATTCGAATGTAGTACAAACATTTGTCGCTACTCTTTTTAAGCAGTACTCTATGTGAGTCAATATGCAAAGGAGACAATGGAAGTGGGAGTTTTCGTCATTCTCCAGTTCTAATTCTTACAAAAAACAAACGAATTCAATAAAAATTTAAATCGAACATTGATTTAACTCGTAAAATCTGCGATACCCACGTAATTCAAGTAACAGGCAAAACAGCTTTCATTTTGAATAATTCTCATATATAAAACCCAAAGTGTATGTATGTGTGTGTCTGTCTGTCTGTCAGTCTGTCTGTCTCTCTCCTTCTTTTTTGTTCGTCACTAGAAGAGACCATTGCATGGCGACGGTTGAAATGCCCATTGCATTTGATGAAATAATAAGAATAGAATTTTCGGTTATTTTAAACTTGACTAGTAAAACGCAATAAATTATGATGTATTTAGTTATTTTTCAACCTGAAGATGCTATTTTTGAATCGTAATTTTGAAGTTACATTGTACTTATAAAATCTTAAAAAATTAAAGACTCTCGTCATTTTATGACGGCACGGGTAAACTAGTATTTCTGATAAACGGAAAAAAACTGCGAAAAATTCTTTAGTCAACTGACAGTGACTGACAATTAAGTGCCTCGTCATATTTAACCCGTTTTTATATTATGGAACTTTAATTTATATTATGATAACGTTGTATAATTATAGAATTAGGTTTTGTATCATTATAACATCATATCGTTATAACATTACATTAAGAATCTGTTTGCCATTTCACCCTAAGTATTATGTTAAAGAATACGAGAGAAAAAAAAAACATTATTAAAAAAGAGAACAATAAAAGAACCGGAATTAAGATGACTAAATATAACGATTGATACTGTATTTAAATTTTTGAAGATCAAAGTTATCTGGAAAGCAAGTGACCGAAAGTGAGCTCCCCAAGAGAGAAGTGCGAGAGAAGAAACTATAAGCATAGAACTTACGGTTATATCTAACCATTTGAACTGTAAAAGGATGAAACTTAGCTGCCAATCTAAGTACTGCGCTTGAATTCGTAAAGTCGAGATACCAAAGTGGAAAGATCACCAGAACAATTACCATGAAAATATGAAAAGGCAGAGGGAAGCTATGTTAGCGCAGTGGGTAAGTGACTGGAGCCAATATGACAAGTCAGGGTCGATAACATTGCAGATTCTTCTTTGGATTTTATGAAGAATCACTAAATACTTAGCAGAAGCACCAGAGTCGATATGACAACAATATTCAATGTATGGACGAATGGTAGACATAGGTGTGTATGATAGATTCTAGTGAGAAACGATATATTGAACCAACTTTCCTAGCAGCAGACCTAGCAATTGATTTAATGTAATTTTTACTTTCATGATATGGCATATCATTATAATATTATATAACATTATATTATGGAACCCTAACAAAACCTGTAAAATATCGGTTACAAAGGGAGACTGATGAAACAATGATAAGATTTAATTTTAAAATACTCGACTCCTGATGTGATCATTCATTCATTTACGCATTCTTGTGATCGAATGCGTAAATGAATGATTGAATCTAATCATTACATTCAACATGTTCTTGGGGAAATTAATATGGTCTGTAAATCCGAACAAAATTAGTATGAAAAAAGAAGAAAAAATAGTTACAGTGTAAATAAACACTGTTGGTTATGCTGTTAAAGACGTGATGCCATTTTGCTGTTATCAACGTTCAACAAAGACTAATAATTGAACTAATCATTGGGAAAAATAGAAAATCTTTTCCCTGGAAGCTTGGGTGTGAGCAAATACAAGCGATCTTGACTAGTAAAATATTAGTATACTGAGTTCAATCCTTACGAATGTCGCATTATTAGTCATTTTGTTTCTTCTATGCTAAGCTTAGTAAATATCAATATGAGTTTCATCAGTCGCCCATAATATTATCATTTTTTATTTATTATTTTTTTGGGAGGGGTCTTATTGGACCATTATTTGGTCGAAGTTGGCATCGGAAAACAAACTAATACATGTAATGAAAAATAAAATAAATTGTATATCATTTAGAACGACACAGGGTAACTATTTATAATTTGATTCTTTCGAGATTTGATGCAATTTTTTAAAATAAAATGAGACGTGATGTTCTTCGAACTAACTTGGATGAGATTTTATTTGATTCTGATTTTAATTTATGTCCTTAAGGAAAAAAAATACCTGCTAATAGATCATCAGGCAAATAATTTTTTAATTAAACAATTGCGAGATAATGTAAAGTGTGGTGAGACAGGGCGAAGGCTAGGAAGAGCGTGAACTGAAACGGCATCGTCGACTTTATTTTTGTCTTGCGTTCCAGGGACAAATATGACAAAGGTAAAAAGTAATCGGAGGAAAAATAAACTAATTCGGAAGTGAATAAAAGCGAGCGGTAGGAAAACAAAGAATTTTACAATTAAACGATTCAAAGCAATAATTCATTACGTTTATAATAAAGTGAAAAGATGTCGGAAATTTAGAAATTACGACATAAACCTCTGTCTGTCTTCAGTGCCCCTTCATATATATATATATATATATATATATATATATATATATATATATATATTGAATAAATAGTGTAACGCTAAATTTTGTAACGTCTGTCTTCAGTTTCCTTCATATATATATATATATATATATATATATATATATATATATGTATATATATATACAGACACACACACACATATAACTATATCAATATTCATCTATCTATCTATCTATCTATCTATCTATATATATATATATATATATATATATATATATATAATACGATTATCGTTTAAGGTTGAAACTGATAGTCACCAACCAATGTCCATACTGCTTATATATATATATATATATATATATATATATATATATATATGGGGAGGTGTGCGTATGTATATATATATATATATATGAGTATATAATCCAATTATATATATGTAATTAATATATATATATACGATTATATATATTTATTTATGCGTATATGTGTGTGTACGTGCATTTTCTATACATGCAAATATATGTTGCGTAAAACACACATACGCACAGATATATACATACAAATACATTAAATACTCACAGACATATATATATGCGTATATATGTGTCTATATACACACATATATATATATATATATATATATATATATATATATTTATATATATGCTCATTTAATGCGATTATCGTCACCAAGTAGTCCCATATTGCTTACATATGCTTGTATGTGCAGGTATGTATGTATATATTTATATTTGTATGTGTATATATATGCATATATGTGCGTTTGAGTTTATATATATATATATCTTTATATATATATATATATATATATATATATATGGAGAGAGATTGAAAAAGCCGAGAGAGAAATCTGAATATTTATCTGTATATATGTGTATGTGCGCGCCCATGCGTGCGTATGTGCTTTATACATGTATATATTTGCATCCATAGAAAACACACGCGCACACACACACACACACGCGCACACACACACACACACACACACACACACGCACACACACACACGCACACACACACACGCACATATATAAAAAAGGAGAGACAGAATGAGAGCAAGCAGCAAATTGATGCGAAATAAATAAACCAAAAGGAAAGAATGCTATTAAGAAATGCATAATAATATCTTACAGTGAGAGTGAGTGAGTGAGTGAGTGAGTGAGTGAGTGAGTGAGTGAGTGAGTGAGTGAGTGAGTGAAAGAGAGAGAGTGAGAGAGAGAGTGAGAGAGAGAGTGAGTGTGTGAGATAGAGAGAGAAAGAGAAAAGGCGGGTGTAATCATTTGGCGCGAAAGATCGATCACAAATATATATTCATCAAGGTTTGAACTCTTTTGCCGGTCTAAAATATTTCATCTGCAACGCGGTCATGTTACCCAGCATTCAAATGAGAGAAATATGCATTATTTGTTTATAGTAAAAAAAAAAAATGGTAACTAACTCACCGGAGAAGAAAGCCACAAGTAGCAGAGCAGTCAGTAGTGCCATGTTTAAGCACTTCATTTTTGGTTGTAAAAAATGAAAATGACGGCAGACTGCTCTCTCCACTGTTATCTCGTTGGCTTTCTTTCCTTTCGGAAAACGCCGAAGCCGTCTTTGGGTTGCCTTCTTCAGATGTGCCCCAAACTAGCAGCGGCGTTAGTATGGGCAATATTGGAAGGATACGAAGCCCACCGCTCGCTGCCCAGTCAGAAACCTTGACGAAATATTTTTCTTTTCAAGGGAGGCAGGCTTTTAAAAATTTGAATTGACAACCAGGGGAGAGAAGAGAAGGGAAGGGTAACAACCAGGGAAGAGGCAAACAGGCTAGAGAGAAATACGCCAAAATTTGGGGAGAGATAAATCGGAGAACGTGAGAAGAGAAGGGGAAAAGACGATAAAAACAGGATGCTCCTGCTGCTGTTGATAACGATACTGTTGGGGAAGAAGAAGAAAGAAAACAGAAGAAAATAAAAAGAATGAAAGATAGCCAAGCAGAAAGAAAAGGAAAGAAAAATAAATGGCGTCTTATAAAGAAATGATGAATAATTAAGAAGAAAAAATGAACGAGAATAAAAGAAGAAACGACAGAATTCAACAACAAAAAAAAAGCTTTTGAATTAGAATTAATGCTAATATTCTTTCTCTAATTTTTATTATACTTATTTAACTCTTTTCAGATAATCCGTATCACTAACAAACAGTTTTCTTCCTCTTTTTTAATCCTTTCTTTTTCCTTCTTTCTTTCTTTCTTTTTCTTTCTTTTTTTACCTCTCTTTCTTTATCATTTTCGCTCTATTTTTATCACCCCCCCCTTCATGTACTCCTTTTTTATTTTTCTCCTGTTGTTTTTTCTATTCTTTCTATCTCTCTTTTTCATTTTCTCTTTCTTCTTTACATCTTTCTTTCACTTTTTCTTCTTCTTCTTTATTCCTTCTCTTCTTTTTTATAACCTCTTTTCTTTCTATACTCCCCTCTCTCAAGCCATTGTATATTCGAAGTCGTCCTCTTTTACTTTTCCCGGTCACTTTTGCCAGTTCTTACAAATATCTTTCCCACCTTTCATTTCTTCCTGGTATTGTTTCCATTTTTCAATTTCCCCTCCAACAAGCCAAATAATGTTTCGGTTTTAACTTTTAATTACCCCAGAAACAGTTAAACAGTAAAAAGCCGTAAGATAAACAAATCAATCAATACTTGTTAATTTAACTTTGTCGGAAAATTAATATTATATTTTTTAGCCATACAATAGAATGGAGCATCGAAATATGCTAAATTCATTCACACTTCTTTTTTTTTCAATCAATTACTAACAAATGTTTTTTTTTTCGGAAATGCTTTTATTCTTTATAATCAAGGAAGCTCAAAAGCGAATTGATAAACAGTGTAATGCTAAATTTTGTAACGTTGAGGTATCAAATCGCAAACCTGTGGCGTGGCACTGTTGTTGTATCGCGCCAGATCAGTCACTTCCCTTCCGTTACCTCGTTTACAGTAGGCAATTTTTAGGGGTTCAAATATAACTATAATATAAACTATATAAACTATATACTATAATATAAATATATATAAATATAAAAATACATAAATATAAATATATATAAATATAAAAATACATAAATATAAATATATATATAAATAAATATAACTATAAAAGAAGAGCCTTCAGAAGAACGCGATTTTCGTTCTCGATGTTTTTTTTTAATTTTTTTTTTTTATAGTAAGTTCCACCCTCTACAAGGGGGACACCCGAGGTAGAAGCTTATGTTAAGGGGTAATTTATATGGATAATAAGGGAAGATAACGGTTAACTCTAGATTTGAATAGGTTAAGAATGTAGCGATCGGGGAAATATCTTCTTGGGAGTCTGTTCCACAGAGCAGTGGTTCGCAGGAAGAAGCTGTTTGAGTGAAACTTATTTTTCACCGATGGAATACAGGGCGAATGTAGGTGGCTTGCTACAATGTAAGTGACATGGCGGGTCCTAGCCGTGAAGGTTACAACTGGTGGAACCAGGGAATGTAGTTCGCCCGAGGAGTTTCCATGGAAGTGAAGATCAACTCATATCCACAATCTGGATATACCTCTATATAACGCCAAATACATTCAGAGGTCAAATCCACAGTAAAACTGGTGTTGATTCGAACAATCGACATGTAAGAGACGAAGCCGCTATATTATAATTTTTGTTTATTCATCGCGGTAAAATCAACTTCCAAAAACTAAATTAGGCACCGTGTACAGATATTTGAGCGATCCGAATCAGAAGAGTCGATCAATACGTAAATAATCCAGTCAAGCCACAATGTTTCTTCTTCTTTTATACGCTGTATCCCTTCCGGACGCGGGCGTTTATCGTTCTCCACAACTTCTTGTCCTTGTACCTCTGAACAACGTTTGACTATTTAGCATCCCCTTTTGTATCCTCTTTACCATCCATTCACATAACCTTGTTATGAAGTTTACTTGCTGTTTCCTCCTGTTGTCAATAAGCCCTATGAGTGTCAAATTTTTCGAGCACTCTTTCCTCATAATGTGTCCAGAAAATTTCGTAGCTGTAACCAAATGTAACTTTTTAGCCAATGACTCACATTGTATTCCAGCTGCTGATGAATCTTTTTTTTTTGTGCAGTTTCCCTTGAGGGGGTGTGCATTCATAGCTCTCCACAGCTTCACATAAGAAGACATAATACAAATATTATTTCAATACTGTTCGCAAGATTTTCATTAGCAAATAAAAATATAGCTTACGGCCATATGACGTTGAAACGCCAATTCCCTTACGATCACCGAAGTTAAGCAACGTCGAGCCTGGTCAGTACCTAGATGAGCGACTGCTTGGGAATACCAGATGCTGTAACCTCGGATGTGCGGTTGGTGTAATGGAAAATGGCTCGGAAGTGTTAATCCGCTATACGAGCTGAGATCAAATTCCAGTTGTGTTCGTTATATTCACTTACGCGAAAATACCCATGGGAAATGTATGAATCCACCTCTTCTCCATCAGCTATGGGTTAATTAGTAGGATTTGTATTAGTCAATCATTATTACCACCAAAGAAATTCTTACAATCTAAAAATATTTTCTGGCTTTCAGGCAATAGGTTTATAAGCCGTAAAAAACAATTAAAAAAATAACTTCATTTCATTAGATGAAATAAAACTTATTGCTTATTCAACTGCCACTTAAAGGAGATTGGAAATTGTATGATTAAGACTGCAATTTTATGATTAAATATTAAGTAGGATTAAAAGAGATTAGAAATTTTATAGACTTCATTTTTCCCTCCTTAAAATGCATTATTCTGACCAAATATTTACCTTATTATATAAACAGCAAACACGAGTTCAGCCATTTTCTCTTCTAAAAATTCCTGCACTATTTAGCTAGTTAGTGTCTTTCTTAAAACTCTTCTTCAGTAATAAACTTCATCTTTACAATCAGTTTTTATTGGTACAAAAATCTTCAAGAACACATGACGGTGGATCAATAATTGCACATCTTGACACGTAGTCATTAACTGAATTTTGATTTCAAAATTTCATCGTATAATGTCCGTTGCACTATCTATATGATTAATATTAACTACTCAATTAAGTGCATTACCTTTACCAATGTATAAGATATATGTAGGCAGCAAAAATTGATCCAAAGTTTGTTAAATTTCAACCTATTTAATTTATGATTGCATTTTTTCAATTTTCGAATAACATATGTATCAGGATCAAAATTATGGACAGAGTTCAAAGCTATTTTTTTCTTTTTTATTCAAGTACTTTAGACTATTTAAGTCATTATCAAGAGCAGGGTGTTGTCAGTATGGTAGACAAGATTTTGTTGATCACAAAAAATAACTGGCGTTTTTTAGATCGCTGGAAGTGGACTTAGAACCAGTTCAAAGTAACGTCATATGTAAAGTTTAAACGGAAAAGCGTTATATATACATATAACTATGTGTATATATACAAATATATATATATATATATATATATTATTTGTATACACATTTTTATATTTCATATTCCATATACATACATTAAATAAAATATCTTTCTCCACTGATGTTATAATAAGAATATATATGTAATGTATATGTCTAATGTAAAATAAATTGATTTTAACAGTAAGCTCCAAATATATTGACGTATTGTAAAAAAAGAAAAAACATTTGTCAGAAGAGGTTTAGAATTCTAAGATGTTTATTTTTTAATGACGTTTTTTTCTTCATTTTTAAATGTAGTATGTTCTTCTAATTAAAAGAAAAATTAATATTTATTTCCCTACACACACGAAAACACCTGTTCTCGTTTGATCACCGAGAATGGTCATTACTTAGATAGGGGACCGCTTGGAAGCACCGGGCACTGTAAGCAACCTTCTATAATCTGAAATATGTTTCGGTTTTAAATGACCTTCAAGAGTTGATAAACCGTAAAAAACAAATCAATCGATCAACAATACCCACATATGAAATATTCTAACGACTTCCTTGATAATACCAGTATCATTGACATAACGAAAGTTTTGATAAAAATTTAAATTTTAACCTGGAAAATGTTTTCAATATTATTGTTAATTCGTCGATGATTTTCACACATTATTGATTCAAAGCCACAAACCACTTAATTAATTTTCATCAAAATCAGTTTGGTCGGCGTGAAACGACAAAATTAGAATAACAATTTTTATAGTACAAATGAGCACGCACACACATGCACACACATACATATATACATATATTTAGGAAATGGATTAAATCCGACATAACATAATTTTAATTTATTTGTTTAAATGTTATTTTTAACAGGCGCTCATATTTGAGGTCTTACGTAGCCGAGAGATCAAGGCATAACAAATGTAGTAATAGTTTCTCCTAAGAGACGCAGGTTCAAATCCTGCCTGTGGGCGTATATTTTTCTAACAAGATTTCTCGAATATTCAGGCCGGTAGATGTGGACCCCCCCCCCAAAAAAAAAACAACAGAGCAGCTACTCAAATATGAGTATCCCTTAAAATAGCGTTTAATCCTGATACATATGTTATTCGAAAATTGGAAAAATTATATATATATATGTCATGTAATTATGAATATATGATACATTAATATATGTTCGTCTTTATATATATATATAGAGAGAGAGGGAGACGAATATATATTAATGTATAGTATATTCATAATTACATGGGCACCTCGAAGCAGTGAAATGGTTAGCAGGCTTGTTTTGCTAGAACAATTACGACTGAGTAGTGAATTGGATCCTCACTGGGAGCACCCTACATTCGGCCTTGTGCTGCATCTAAGCTACGCCTGAAAAATCACTATTCATAATTACTGCTACTTCAACGTAATATTTAAGTGTGTCAACCTCTCCCAACATAGCAAACAATCTAGTCAACTTGAAAGATGACTGTGTCAAAGAAACAGGGTTCTTGGGGTTGGAATTCGCTGATATCTATTACATTTACCCAGAATAGTAAAAAAAAAAAAAAAAATTAAAAAGGGGTGGGGTTAAAATGCTTTCAAATGTTCGCTTTCATCTTAAGATCTGTGAACTCAGATCCTATTTCAGATTCATATTGTTCAGAAAATAGAGCTTAAGTCAGAAGAAGAAAAAGAAACAAGATTCTTTGCATAATAGCCAGCATATAAATGCGAATGGCATCATAAATTAGTTTAATTTATTGCTAATGATGTCGTGTAGTGGATATCGGAAAAGAAACTGGAATCACCGAGACGGGTTCAAATTCTAGCCTAGTCTGTTGCATTCACTTTCGCACAAATGCCCTTGGGAAAGGCACGAATCCGTTTCTACGCCGCCATCCAGCTATGGGTTAAATAGTAAAGCAGATTGGATTATCTGCCAATCTAAATGGAGACAAATTCTGAATTTCAAACAATGCCCACCTCAACGGAAACCACTCCACAAACTTTCCCAAGAAAATATAGCAATTTACACAAATATCTGCTGAAAGCCATGTACACTTCCCCCCAGATGGGCAGGCTATTAAAAATAATGCCACAAGGACAAATAGGTTACTGGGAGTGAAAGAGAATACAAAGGATTTAGTGAGAAGTGAGGAGAAAAAACAATAAAAGAACAGGAATTAGGAAGAAGACAGAAGATGGCGGTTGGCTTTGTATTTGTTGGTATGGATAGTTTATTTTAGAATGGGTTATTTATAACAATAATAATTTTTAATTAATTTTCATCATGCAAGGCGATAATGCCGCTGAGACTCAGAGTGAACGATGACGAGACAATCTTAATGTTCTTTAATAAAAGAACAGAATTCGTGAAGATCGGAGATGGCCATTGACGTTGCATTTAAACTTTTGAAGATATAGGGTGACATGAAAGCAAGAAACTGGAAAAGAGTTCCACAAGCGAGATGTGTGTGAAAAGAATCTATTAGAATATAATATCCGTTTGCATCTAGGTAGTTCAACAGTAAAACGTTGAAATCTAGTAGCACGCTTAAATTCATGAGTCGAGGCAACAAGGAGGATAGCTCATCAGAACAATTGCCACGAAAATACTTGTAGAAAAAACAGAATGAAACCACGTCATGTCGGTGAGAAAGTGACTGAAGTCGAGATGCCAGATTTGATAACGATCCATTGAAAAATATTTTCAACGCTGTGTAAATGCCTAATGGTTAACGAAGAAACTAGTACGTTCGTAGAGCATTTAAAGTTACGTTATTGCAGTATAATTCAACTTAGTTACTAAATTAATGTGTTGACGATATAAAAAATATTAGTTAATTGTGTAAAATAATTAAAAATAATAATTAATTAAAATGTGTATATTAAATAGTCTCGATTTGTTTTATACACTAACTTTTGGGAGAAATGTATTAAAAGAAAGGCAGAGGGTTTGTAAAAAATTGTTACATTTGGGTGTAAAAAGGGGTAGATTGTGGATAAAAGTGTTGGTTGAGTAATTGAAAAATTGACTTGGCCGAGAGAGTTGTTAGTTCAATGGCCACAACATAGGAAACAAAAACTTGTAGTTGAGTTAGTAAAGGGGATTACCTGATACTGAGATATAACCACAAAAGGCATATCACGTAGAATTAGAACAATCCACCCGTGTGAATTAAATAAAGGTTTCGGTTCGAAATTCCAACGTATATCACCTGAAGAAGGTCGGAGCGTACAACGGTCGAAACTGCGTGAATATGGCAATAAAGATGAGGACAACTGTCCGAACGATGTAAATAGTGTAAATAAAAGTTTTTCTGTTTAGAATTGGCTCTAAAAAGGACCGCCAGAAACTATCATCAATGGACTGTTCAAAAGGTGTGTCTAGGGTGACGGAGCCAGTCTCACTTCAGTGGTTTTGAATTCAAAGTTTTCCTTCGCCTTGATTGGTGGCCTTACCAACAGTAAAAAAAAAAATCTGTCCTTCTATTTAACGCATATCTGGGGGAAGATGAGTTCATACCTTTTCCAAGAGGATTTGTGGGAAATGAACGAAACAGACTAGAATCGAATTTGAACTCTGAAGGCCGATTCCACTTTCCGCTACATTAAAATGGGAATACCCTGACCTATATAAGTTGTCCGCTGGCATTTGGGGATTCAGTGTGAACATCGGCTAGGCTACTTATGGCAAGACGGTGTGAATTATCAAAGTTCGAACTGTGAATGATAGTGTGCGCCAGACGAATGGGACATTCCACTTTTTACATTGTGGGTACATTTGTCATCTCTCGATCCATGACCTGATGGAAGACATTAATGCCCTGCAGTGGGCAGTGCAGTGGCCCATCACGACACCTTAATGATCGTGTCTAGATTTGGTTTGGTTTGTTTGTTTAACGGCATATCAACTTATTATGTGTCATGTAATGCCGAAATTTTATTCTCTTGTCAGCTTTGGTATTTTTTCCAAAAAATTATTGATGGTAATTTTTTTTTTCCAATAATGTATTGCTGGTAATTTTTTCAAATGTATTTTTATATTTTCATGCATTGAACTCCAGTTTTGAGGTTCACTCTTTGCCCATAGCTGGGATTCTAATAGATGATACCACTCTGGTTCAGGGTGAACCTTGGAACAACAGAAATTAAGAGGTGGTTCCACGTTCTACAAAACCCCCAGTCTCTAGATCGGAGGCCTTGATGCCGGATGTAATTTATCGGCATACCCAAGACTAATATATATATGTGAAATTTCAGAGACAATTCATCTGCAAAAGGACAATATAAATCGTGACTAGAGGTCTCTGGTTAGAATTATTTGTCATAACAGACAAACGATACCGGCTCAAATCACATCCAGCAGCGACATCGTCCTTCGTTGACTTTGGCCGTCCCTGCGCATTCCGCCGGTGTCAACTGCTTGCACATCCGCCACGCGGTCCTGTCGGTGAAGTTACGCAGAGGAGTAGGAGGTGTCCGTTGCATTTTGCGGAGGTGCGTGCTCATATGCGGTGGCGGGTTCCTTCGGCGTCCAACGGGCAGTTCATGCGGTGGCTCAATGCGGAAGATGCCAGGGACATATGTAGCAGGTCAGTTCAGTGTTCTTTCGCTTTCATGGGACATGGAAGCAGAAGATTCCATCAGAGTGTTCCTGTTGATACTATGAAGAACTGGCAAAAGATGGCTCTGTCTAATGAGTCAGGGTTCCAGTTGTTTTAATCTGATGGTGGATTTAGCGTGTGGTTCAGTTCTCAACAAGGCATCATGCATGTTGGTAGTAGCGCTATAGCGGTATTGGGTGAGTACGTCACAATGGTCGGGTTTACTCTGCACCCTAAAATTCATGGTGATTGCTATGTTGCACTGCTTTGAGGCCATTTCCACCCATTCATTGACCCCACATACTCCGACAAAAATGGATTATTCCAGTAGTACACTGCCTTGCGTTATCTGACCTGAGTTGCACCAAATTAGAAAATATTTTGTAAGCTTTAGACGAAGTGTGGCCACTACGTTCACCTGATATAAGCCCATTTATGGATCCCAGTGGAGAGGTCTATTTGCACGCAAGATCATTCACTTACAAATATAAATGAACTGTGGAAAGCTATCGATAGAGCATGGCTCAGTATCTCTTTAGAAGTCATCGAACTATTTTTGAAATCAATATTGCTGCATTTTGCCTGACTAAAATTATCGAGACGATATATTTTCCCCATGACTTTTGGCACGTCAGTGTACATTGAATTCTACTGTTATGGTACCAGGGATTAAAGCTCATTAGAACATTAGACCCAGATCCAGGGCCTCCTTTCTCCTTAGAGGAACCCCTACCTGATGGACCATCTATTCAAAGGTGTAGTCGTACTCACCACGCTTGGCCAATTGCGAGTTGGTTAGGATAATTAAACAATAATTGGAGGTTTTCAATTGAAAGTTGTCCTTCTGGACTGGTTGCCAACCAATGCCATACGACTCAGTCTATCATGCTATTCACCCATTTGAACTCGTCTTCCCGATCCCTCAATCCGCGCAGCTATCCATTTTTGAGACACATAATGAGGAAAGGAAAAAATACTAGAGATGAAAACTCACTAGAACAAATCCAGATCCACAGCCTTGCCACTCCTTGGAGGAACTCTTCCTCGACTGACCATGTTTTTCAGGCATGTGTCTGTAGTTACCACGTTTGACCAATTGCGTGTTGGTGAAGCTATTTAACCCATTGTTGAAGGTTTGAAAGTCAGAGTTACCTTTCTCCTAGACCGGTTGCCACCCAAGGCTATAGCTATTTAGCCATAGTTGATGGAGAGAAGCGATAATTTCAAACCTTTCCCAGGAGTAGTTGCACGTAAGTGAATGCAATGTACTCGACTTGAATTCGAACTCGGCTCTTTGATTACTCGAACCACTATACATTACTCTACCGTGCCTCTCAACAACTATGGAATGCGGTCAAATTACACTGAAAGCGTCCGTTCACGCTAGATCATTGATGCATAGCAGCAATGAAGTTGCTCAGTAAATAGACCGGTGTCTATTTAAAAGCGAAATACACTATAAGCCGAAGTTTATACTGATTAGCGTTAGGCCATTCAATTTTTTGTCCGGCAACGCTCCTCCAAAAGTTTGTTTCATGCAGATTCTAATTGTTACAGAATGGTCTAATGGTTAGCAATCTTGTCTCGATCGAACAATTACGTCTGAGTAGTGATTTCGTTTCTCACTGAGTACTCCATAATTTCTGCCTTGTGCCACATCTAAACCAAACTTAGAAAATCACTTTAACGAAACATTTGGCGGTTTACAGGGTGATCAAAAAGTCTTGTCACCCCCACATTATATAATTTTCTATTTCAACGCTTTGTTGGGTATTATCAAGGAGACAGTTTCACATGAACGATACTAGAATACCTATCAATTGAAGGACATCGTTCGGAAAGCCTTTGCAACAATCAACAAAGCGTAGTTTCGTAAAATATCACACAGAACATGGCGCCGCATCATTTTGTACCACTAAAATGATGGTGTTCATATAGATCTTCTCGATGTATGACAGCATTAATGAAAGTGAATAAACTGAATCCAATACATTTGCTTTGTATTGTCGTATTAATTGTTCTTCTATTGTTCTCATTATGGTGACGAGACTTTTGGACCACCCTGTACTTTGGTATGGTGACGAGACTCTCGAACCACCCTGTACCCACCAATGTCAATTTATACTTCTTTTTAATATTAGTATCAACAACAGTTGATACTAATATAAAAGGAAGTTGTTTTTGTTTCAACTCGATTGATGGTTCCAGTACCTACAAACTAGTAATAATGGCTGATATAAACGTATTGGCTGACCAAATTGGCATCCAAAATTTAAGCCTACTAATGTGCAAACGAAGGAATCGGAATAAAATTGTGAGCTGTATAATGTTCACAAGAAATCTCTGTGATTTGTAGTATTTTTGACTGTCATCTGTGGCTACAATGACATAAACATGACTTTATTTGATTGAATGATTCATTTTCTACGGCTTATGAACCCTTTTCAGGTTATTTAAAGCCAGATAATGTTTTTAGATTGTAAGAATTTTTTTTTGGGGGGGGGATATACGGTAATGATTTAATGATGCAAGTCTTACTAATTAACCCATGGAAGAGGTTGATTCTTATCTTTCCCAAAGATATTTGCACGTAAGTGGGTATAACGAACCCAACGGGTATTGAAACTCGGTTCTCCGATTAACAATTCCGAGCCATTATCCATTACACCATCCGCACATCCAAGATTACAACACTTGGTATTCCCAAGTGGTCACCCATCTAGGTACTGACCAGGCTCGACGTTGATATTACGGGAACCAATGTTTCAACGTGATGCGGCCGTAAACCACAATCACATTCTGAAATAAGCGGGAGTTTCTCTTTGATGAATAGAGTCAAAGGCGCGGTCAGTAAAAGGAAAAGAATTTTTTTTTATTGCCGATAAAATATTAGAAAAGAACGTAATGCATGGAGACACAAAACTATCTTTTGTCTTTCTTTTGTATTAGAGTGAGTCAGAAATAATTTCCCTTACGATCACCGGTGTTTCAACGATATATAGCCATATGCCTTGGTATAGCTGAAGTGTCCCCATAAAAATCTACGGCACGCACAGATATGAACAACGTTTTACGGAAATATCCATAGTAATAGAAATAATTAAAATAATTTAAACTTATCTACTTATATATGCAATCTTTTCATTTAAAAAATTCCAAATATTACAGGATTTTCAGTATTGGAAACGTAGTAAATATTCACCATTTTGATTATTCGAAGTTAGTCTTCTTAAATTATGAAAGAAAGCTTGAAGTGTTTGATACTCACAAGACATACAAGAGGGACAGAGGGAAACAGCGAATAAACTTTCTGAATGAGCGTGTGTGAATAGGTGTCGGAAATGGACTGGGAAGGTTAGAAAGTGGACAAACGATGTTTAAGGATAAAAGGATAGGAAGTTATGGAAATCCATGGTTACCCATTTTCTAAAAGAAGACAGCACATAAAGAAGAAATATTCCTCGGCAAAAAAAAAAAAAAAAAAAAAAAAAAACTGACCTTGACGCAAGGTGGATTCATGAAACACATAGTTAAGATCAAACGCACGAACAATGGTGTATGAGTTTTGTACACCAACAATCTTCTTAAAATTTACATTTTTTTGTAGCACGGTATGACATGAAGACTGGTTCGTCTCATAAACAACTTCAAAGACACAGAATTCCACATTCGTACAACAATTTGCTTCACCCCAAAGAAAAATTTATCTTTACCGTATATTGGCCATTGTTTTAAACAATTACACTTCCCAACTCTTTAACTGTCAACTCTTGGAAATTGCTTAGCCAAAAACTTGAGAATTTAAGGAATCTTTAATTCCTCTGTTTTTATCCATTTCAAAAATGAAAACAATATTGTACCAGCTTTTAGTCATTTTCTACTTAGCGTTAATCTTCAAATAGTGACATCTCCTGGTCCGTTTACACAGAGCAGAATTACACCATCATGTAAACTGAGTCCTTCATCTGTCGCTTATCGGTTTTCTGATGTTCTGATTTCTAACCCTGACCTAAGAAATTTAAACATGGCTCTAAAGGAAAATATTTGACAAGACGCTACGTAAACAAGCGACGAAAAACAGAAAGCTAGAAAGACAGAAAGAAAAAAATGCTTAGAAAATGAAGAAACTTCATAAGCAGGCACAGAAAGAAAGAAAAATGTAATACAAAAAATAAATAAAAGTGACTCGTTAAACAGGCAAATACTTCGATAAATAAATAAAATTATAGAAAAGAAACCTCTGAAAAATGCAAAGAAAGAAAAACAAGAAAGAAAGAGAAGAAAAAAAGAAGTATAAAAAGAAAGAAATCAAAAAGGAAGAAAAAGAGGTCGAGGAGAAAAGAGAAATTAAAATCTGGAATAGTTATTTAGATGTTTATTAATATCAGTTTAGTTTTTTACAAGGCCACAGTAAAAGGACATCTAATGTGGACCAAATTCACAAAATTACCCTACGGTTGCTGTTTATAATATTTTACATAAAAGTGAAAAAAAAAATCTTGTGTCATAAGATAAACATTTAGAAATAATCCGACTAACGAGTTTTAGGATAGGTTTATGCTAATGTGTATTTTTTCTGCAACCTCAAATACACCTTAATTCTGCTGGTCAATCATAGATTTTAGCCGATTTGAACTGGTCGAGAGAAAAAACTCTGTTTGCATGACTATCGATAAAATTTATTGCTGAAGTAGGCAGTTCTTCAGCCAACACAAATACACCCATAGAATATAAATGCTTACCGGACTAATTTATTATATTATTGTATTCATGTCAAAGCTGAGTGAAATGATGTTATGTCTAGAAAGATATGAACATAGATAGATAGACAGACAGACAGATATAAGAATCTCTCTTTTAACAGGTTGTACAGGCACACACACACACACATTATATCTATCTATCTATCTATCTATCTATCTATCTATCTATATATATATATATATATATATATATGTGTGTGTGTTTGGTTGTTTCTTTCTTAGCGGAATATCAACCTCTATGAGTTATTTAATGGCGAAATCTCAATATTTTGTACGCAATTTTATGGCTTCAACTGCAGATATTTTGTACATGATTTTATGCTTTTAGGGCAAACGTATGTTTTTTTTAGATATATAGTTTATAGATGATAAAATGTATTTTACTGGTGATTCTACTATAAAAATGTCTTATATTTTTATTGTGTATTGATTGTCATTTTGCTATAAAAATGTATTACTATAGGTAATATTTCTTATAAATATATTCCTGGTATTTTTGCCATAATGTATTTTCATACTTTCTTAGTGAATCATCAATCAAAAATCAAAATACTATTTTCCCATAGCTGGGAGCCTAACAGGTGCTACCACCACGGCTCAAGGTGGACCTGGGAACAACAGCAATTAAGAGGTGGTTCCTCAAAACCTCCAATCTGTTTATCAGAGACATTGTTGCTAGATGTAGTTTATCGTCATACTCGTGACTAATATATACATATATGTGAAATTTCAGATGGAGTTTATCTATAAAAGGACAATATAAATAAAAGGAAAAGAAAACATGGGTTATTTGTTTTTGTATTTTTTCATGCTTTTTCTTTGGTTCTAAGTTGTAGTATTTGGAATAATTTATTAGATTTAGGTCATTGGATTTTATTTAGTCGTTTTGATTATGATGTAGTTGTAGGTAGCGTAGTTGGTATTTGTCTTCATGTTTTCATTTAGATATGTCCACAAATCTTTGTTCCTAACAACAATTTAATATTTTTTAGTATTTTGCTGAATTTCTGAAAGGCCTCTTTTGTTATTCCGATTTATCTTCGAATCTCAATTTTCACACTTTCTTTCGTCTGTTATATTGTGTTGTAAGGCATTTGAAAACATTTGGATACGTGAATTGCTACAACATTTGACTGCATCAGAATTTAACGGGGACAAATAATTTGCCGCATGTCTATCTGCAATATTCTTCTAAAAATGCAATAAAAACGAATTATAACAGACGATGAAAGATAGATTATTTACAACAATGTGAAACGAAAAAAGCACTGGGGAAATGAAAGGAACTAGTTTTGTTTTTTCATTCCAAAACAAGTCTGAATCTGAAGAAAGTGATGTAACTGACTGGTTGATTGATCTTTATTGCTTATCAAAACCTTTGCAAGTTTTTTAAAGCCAGAAAATATTTTTAGATTCTGAGTTCTGGGGAGTGGGAATAATAATGATTTAGTAATACAAGTTTTACTAATTAACCCATAACTAGGGGAAAATAGGTGTATTCATATCTTTCCCAAAGGTATTTATTCATAAGTGAATATAACGAACCCAATTGGAATTGAAACTCGGCTCTCCGATTAACAATTCCGTGTCAGTATCCATTACACTATCCGCACATGGAAGCTTACAGCACCTGTTATTTCCAAGTGGTAAATGACTAGACTCGACGTTGAAAGAGAATGAGAAGACTGAAGTAAGGAGAAAGGGCAATAAAATAAAACGGGATTCAGGAAGACATAATATGGCGATTGGTGTTGCGTTTAAATTTTTTAAGATTGTAATTGGGTGGGAAGCAAAAAATCAGAAAAGAGTCTCACAGGCAAAAATGCTAGAAAAGAAGCTATTAGAATAGAACATACTGTTGCATCTAGCTAGTTCAACAGTAAAACAGTGAGACCTAATTGCCAATCTAGTAGCATGCTTAGCCAAGGAAGAATGCTCCTCAGAACAGCTGCTATGAAAATATTTGGAGAAAAGAGAGAGCGAAGTCACGTTACGACGGTGAGAAAGTGACTGAAACTGAAAGGTCAGATCGGCATCGATTACATTACAGAGCTTTCTTTGAATTTTGACAAGAATATCGAGATATATCGTAGGAGCATCAGACCAGATATGGCAGCAAAATTCAGTAGACGGATGAATGTGCAAGATGGATTCTGACGAAAAGAATCTAATTGAAAAGAATCGTTTCAATAATAACATTCCATCATCTCGTTTCATGAGTTATTTCCGAAACTCTTTCTCTGATAACTCAAGAAGTGTCTTGAAATCATTTGATCTGTTTGAATTTGTCAAATGACGCCATTTCTTAAAACTTCAGTTTTTTAAAAATTAATCTTCTAAATTAAGATTTAAAGGAAGAGAATTGAACACCCCGGAACTAAACTGAGCTTATAAAGGAAATTAAAGAAATCCCAGTAAAATGATTAAAAAAGCATACACGTGTCTTAAATTTGTATTCAGTTCGTTTCTCAATGCAAGTTGATATACCAGAGCCGAAAGATATTTAAAGAGCAATGGATGGAATAGTTTTGCATAGTTTGGAGAAAGAATTTAGCATAAGAGTCATTCCATTTGATAACTGATCGTATGGATATTAATCTAGGGTGAAAAGCATTCCCAATTGCTGTTCGATGAATAAAAATATTTATGCTTGTCTTGATGCAGAAGACTGACCTTTAATTGATTTGATCCAATGCTTTTAATGCACTTGCAACAAAATGTTATTTTATGCAAGCAATTTGATTTGTTTAGTTTCCAAAGGAATCAAATCGATACCCGTCCTCGGTATGACGATA